TCAAGGTTATGATATGAAGGAATTGTTTTAAAAATATTTTGCTATGAATAACTTATATGAAGCAATCATACAAGATTATAAAATACTGGTTTTATATGTGCTAAAAAATATAGAGATAATCGATATAAGAAAGACAATTTGGGAAAAGATATCTGACCCAGAAACAGAAGAACTTATGAATCAAAGATGGTACGATATAGATGAAATATGGCAGGATATAGATAAAATAATAGAGTTTGATTTAAATGATCTAGAAATTCAATATTCGGATTAATGATAAGACACTTAAAATACTGGCTAGAAACTATGGAAAATATAAAATTACTAGAACAATTAATGGCGGAAAACTTATACATGTATCAAAGAACCCAAGATATGTTATATCTAGAGTACATCAGAAATAATATAAAAGAAATATTTAGATTAAAATTACTATCAGAAGAATACTACAATAAATATTATTACATATTACCTTAATCGGAGGACCCCCCCCCCAAGGACTATGCCACACACCTTCATGGATCACCTGTATATGTTCTTTGTGCCCAAATGAAGTTCACGAGTCATATAAGTTCCTAAGTAGCACAACTAAGTTACATTTTCTTCCTATATTATTGTTTTCTGCCTCAATTAATTTATCCACATGTTCACATCACTAGTATATAGTCCTAAATCTCAAAAGAGTCATGAACATCAAAACAACAATCTTAAAGATTAATGTTCCTAAGTAGCACAACAAAGTTACATTTTCTTCCTATATTATTGTTTTTTCCCTCAATTAATTTATCCACATGTCCACATCACTAGTATATAGTCCTAAATCTCAAAAGAGTCATGAACATCAAAAGAACAATCTTAAAGATTAAAAAGACAAGGTAAAGTGAATCTATATAGTTATGGGTGGTAGCTTAGGGGTTAAAATACCTAGCATGGGTCGATCCCAATCTATATTATTATGGGTGGCAGCCCAAGGGTTAAAAGCCTAGCATGGGTCGATTTCGATTTGTATATTTATGAGGAGCGCATCCCAAGATTAAAATGCCTAGCATGGGTCATCCTCTCCTTCCACTAATCAGCTGGTCATTGTGTCACATGCTACAAAGTCTATAAAGAAAAGATGAGTAAACTTAAAGCCAAGAATGTAATGTACATGATTCCCCAAGTATAACCAAAGAATTTAATGTACATGATTTCACAAGTATAAGCAAAGGTGAATGTAATGTGCATGATTCCTCAAGTATAAGCAGAGGTGAATGTAAGGTATGTGATTTCACAAGTTTAATCAAAGGTTGTCTCTTATCCTTATCTATACAGAATAATTGTGCATTTGTACCTGATTTCAGTTGAGCTCTTATTTTACATATGGTTACTTTATGCCTCGCATATTCAGTACATTCTTTTGTACTGACGTCCCTTCTGGGGGATGTTGTTTTCATGCCACAGGTACAGGTACTCAAGCTAATAAAATATCTCAATCTAAGCATAGGATACTCAACGATCTTTGGTGAGCTCCAGGTTGCTTCAAGGCTTTGCCGAGTCTCTAGTATATTTTTGAGATTATATATTAGTTAAGGGGTATGATGGGGTCCTGTCCCGTTATAAGCTAAGTGTCTATCTTTTAGAGGCTTTGTAGAGCAATGTCAAAGTGAAGCGTAATTATATCTTGTTTTCTAGCAATTAAGGCCTCAACGACCAATCAAGTATATCTATTTTGGGCCTATCCATGTTGGTATTTTATCAGGGTATTTTACGTATACTCATCAAAGATTTATAACTTCATTTTTTGCATGTATGATAAGCAAGAGTTATATGTTGGTTCTCTCGGGCCGTTAGGGCATCGGGTATCTGTCCGTCTCAATGGTACTTGAGGTGTGACAAAAGTGGTATCAGAGCCGATCATCCTAGGGTGTCTACAAAGCCGTGTCTAGTAGAGCCTTACTTATGAATGTGTTGCGCGCCACATTTATAATTAGGGGGTTTCTTAGACATTTAGGTTAGGAAATGTGAACTTGCTTTATATTCTAGATCGTGCGATTGAGTTAAGTCAAATAGTATATTCCTAGTACTATGATCTATGGCATCAAGATTACACCTACTACGGTTAAGGTCAAAGGTGGTCAAGGGCTAGTATATCCTGAGAGGCAATCTTCAGAGGAACATTTCATGTTATCAAAATTTAGAGAAAGGATTTTAGAGGTTTCTACGTTACTTATACCTACAGTTGTAATAGTACCACTTGTATCATCTTGCTTTTTATGAGCGTGATATAGCATGATCACTAAATGGTTACGTAGTCATAGAGATGGGCTGCATCATTTCCTAATATAGAATTTTAAAAGAATGTGATTGGTTCTTGAGTCTGTAATCTCATCAAATATGACTCATTCAGTGGTTATAGGATCTAATCCTATGAAGTACATTCAGTATTTTGTCAGTAATATACACATAATTTTTAGGATTATGTATGTGTTAAAAATAGAAGTGGTTGAGCTGAATTTGTATTAGTTAAAATGTGGCATCATCATAGTTCGGTAAGGCATATAACAATTCTATTTGCAAGAGATACTCTTAGTGGGCCGATAGATCCCATATTTTTATTTATCATCTTGTGTATGTCAGGCTTGAATTTTAAGATATGCATATAACATGTTAAATTAAATGACTCATTGGGTTGTTAAAAAAAACTTAGAGGATAAGTATTTTCATTGTTTTGTATTAAAGTATATGTGCCCCATCATTATTATGTGTTGGTCATATAGGAACACATGATTAAGGATTTAGGTTGAAAATATTGAGGGGTTAGCCATAAGTTATGATTTATTAGGATATTCAGAGTACATGAAGGCATAGATTAATAACCAGCAAGAGAATAATTGGTTATATATGAAATAAAGGAGAAAAATATTTGAATACTATAGAATAGTAAAGTTCTTGGGTAGTATAAGAAGGCAACATATGTGATTATTAGAAGAAACATTGGCATAGATTGTGCCCTTATTACAAAGGATGTTTATTAAGTATTGACATAAGAAAGAAATATCGATTCTTTAATTTTAACCAGTTGCAATGGCATACTTTCTCTGAAAAACTTTTCAAATTTTTTATTAGACAGAAGTCATTTTTTATTGACATTGAATTTTGGTGTTTAGTATTAATACCTACAACAACAGAGAGTGCGACCGAAAGGTCACTTCTGTAGAAGATAAATTTCACCTTGTGTGGTTCCCTTAAATACACTTGAATCATTTGTATGAAAGAAAGATGGTTTCTTACATTAGATTATAAACTTAGAAAGGAGCGAGTTTTGATGCTAGGAATACTGTGTCAACACTAGAAGATGGCATGGGAACAATTGCATATGCTTTATGATGAGTAAAGAAACACAAGTAGAACCACACCATCAATGAGTTAGAACTAGCAATAGTGTCCTTGCACTTAAGATTTGATAAAATCTTTCTATATGATGTCTCTTTGTTTGCAAAGGCTCTAGTTGCTTATATGGTTGTACATGTTACATATCTTATGCCTTATTATGGATTATTTTCCCATTTGTTACATTATTATTTTTTTGGATTACTTGCATGTAGGTGTTATTTTCTTCATAAAGCTCTCGTTTTTGTTATATATTTCATATGACCTTGTTCTAGTTCACCATTACGTGCTACAAATCACTTGTTCGTATTTTATTAGCATCATATATTGATGTTTCATATGTTATCGACATTATAAATTACTAGTTCATGAATCACATGTACCATAAGTCACTTGTCTACATATTATATGCTTCATAGACCATATATATGCCACATGGCTCATAGCCTACTTGTTTACTATACCTGAGTAGTTTATTTGTCCATGTAGATGGATAGCAAAACATGGTGCCCTTTCAAGATGCGAAGAACAATAGATAGAGTATTGCATTGGGGGCAATCGTGTATTTTTACAAAATACATCTATTACAGGCTTCATGAGATTTGGGCAGAAAGGAAGTTGTGCTCTTGATGTGTTGGGCCTTAACATACAGAGAACTGACCAAAAAACATAAGGTAGAGCTACTTCAAGAGTTATATCTCGTACACCTAGTAATTCACAGTCTATGAAGTGTTAACATTTAGTGGACCCATAACTTATCGTAGTATTGAAGTCATAGAGCACTTGTCACTAGAGAAAGTTCTAATATATTATAAATTTCAAAGTTAAGAATTCAGTCTCCGTTAGAGTGTTGTGTAGGAGTCAAAGAGATTAAAAGGGCCACTTGAGAATTGAAGAACTCTACGAAGTTCAAGAATCCATATTGTTCCAAAATTTTCATGAGATTTTGACATCATTTATCTTCTTTTCCTGATTATAAGGTTCACATGCATCTATTCACTTGTTAATATAATCACCTAATTACTTGTTAACATCAGTCCATTTGATATTTTAGCCATGCGTCATAAGTTCAAATGTGTAGTTCCTACTTGGGATTGCATATTCAAAAAAGTTCCACATCAAGCTAGTGTATAAGTAAAAAGATATAAAGGCAAGTCATACCATATAGAATTATTTCACCTGAAAGTATGTCGCAGGGAGGAACCTTACTTTTTATTTTTGACTATTTAATATGCTTCAGTTGTTTAAATGTCGTGCAAGGCTTATTCATTTACAAAGAAAATTTTGAAAACTTTTTTACAGATATGCTAGAGTCGACATTATTTTGAGCTACACCACCCATTCGAGGACGAATGATCCAAAGGGGGATGATATAACACTCTGTACATTTCAACATGTATACGACTAAGTTAATACTGATGAAAGTATTTAAACTCGAGAAGTGAGGTGGTTATTAAGCTTAAATTTTAGAGTTGAGTGTTAAGTTTAAATTAAGAGATTAGAATTTGGAAAATCAGATAAAATAAGTGAGGTGCTTGCTTGACTAAATTAAGCAAGTAAGTGCATCACCTACTTAGACTTTTTGACCAACTTAATAAGAGTAAGTAGCTGCATCACCTACCATAGCTAAATAGATTTAATAAGAAGAAGTAGTTGCATCACCTAGTTTGACATTTCAGCAGCTTAAAAATGGCCAAGTAGGTGGATCACCTACTTGGAAATTTTTGGACAAAAATGAAGAAGATAGAGGCGATGGAGTGCCAGCAATTATAGGGTCATATTTGGCTCATTTATGTCTTAATTCTTGCATAGAAAAAAATGAATTTATCTCCAGCACTCTTTCTTTCCCTCAATGATTATCACAGCCACCTCAAAAATACTCCATGGGTTCTCGAAGAAACCCTCTTAATTTCTATTCAAGGTAAGTAGAAACCTTATGGTTTAGCTTGATTGTCCCATGAGATTTCATGTTTTTCATGTTTAAATATGGTGCAGACTTTTCCCTAAGTTGTCTGCTCATGTTTTCTTTGTTATTAAGACAGTTTCTCTTCTTATTTTGTTCAAGTGTAAAGGGTGATTAAAACTCTTGAAGGAGTACAAGTTAAGAGAACAATTTTCCATAATTTGAGGTAAGGTTACTGCCACATTTTTTCTCACTATAGATATCAGATTAGGTGAGATTTCTCTAAGTGTTTTACTACAAATTCATGAAAAAATGATCGGAAGCAGTGAGTCAAAGTTTTATTGATTATTTTAGAAAGGTTTGGGGCTGTCTATACGTGGTGAAGTTTGGAGAAGTATCGAGTAGATGATTGGGTTTATTAGTGCTAAAAGGCATGATTTTATTCCTATATATGGTAGTGAGAGTGTGGTAAAAGGCATGGTTTTATTCCTATATATGGTAGTGAGAGTGTTGTTTGTAAGTATGAGGCTGTTGGGTGTTGAAACACCATTTATGAATAGTAGAGCTTTATGTCCGCTAAGTGTTCGAC